TTGTGGGGAAAATCGGAGCACCCGGAGGAAACCCATTCTTATACGCAAAGAACAAGCAAACCACACCGAAATTCCAATCGACCCAGCATGGACTTGAACCAGCGACCTTCTTGCTGTGAGGCAACAGTGCTAATTACTGAGCCACCGTATCACCCATCCTGTAGATTGTACAATGAAATTGTTCATGTTAGTCTGAAAACAGCTTATATCGAAGTCTATCAGGCATGTTGTGAACTGTGCCTTTTTATTTTGTAATAACAAACTAAAACTAAACTCCGCCTCCCAGAATAAGATCAATGCCCATTTTTAACATCGCTGCATGTTTAGTTCCGCCCATCGATTCACCTATGTAGAAACCCAGTTTGGATTCCAAGTTTGTTTATTCATTCATTCATTTTCTTGTCGGCTTAGTCCCTTTATTGATCCAGGGTCGCCACAGCGGAATGAACCGCCAATTTATCCAGCATGTTTTTACGCAGCTGATGCCCTTTCAGCCGCAACCCATCTCTGGGAAACATCCACACACACTCATACACTACAGACAATTTAGCCTACCCAATTCACCTGTACCGCATGTCTTTGGACTGTGGGGGAAACCGGAGAACCCGGAGGAAACCCACGCAGGGAGAACATGCAAACTCGACTCGAACCAGTGACCCAGCGACCTTCTTGCTGTGAGGTGACAGCACTACCTACTGCGCCACTGCGTCACCTCAAGTTTGTTTATTTTGAGAAAAATTGTATTTTGTTGCTGATAATTTATTTGTGTTATTCATTCCTTCATTTTCCTGTAGTTTAGTCCCTTATTTATCAGGAGTCGCCACAGCAGAATGAACCGCCAACTAATCCGGCATATGTTTTACAAAGCGGATGCCCTTCCAGGCGCAACCTAGTACTGGGAAATACCCATACACTCACACACTGTACAATACACTACAGACAAATACATTCATTCATTTTCCTTTGGTTTAGTCCTGGATTAAGGATCGCCACAGCGGAATGAACCTCCTTATCCAGCATATGTTTTACACAGTGGATGGCCATCCAGCTGCAACCCAGTACTGTGAAACACCCATAAACATTCACACACATACAATACAGCCTTTTTAGTTAATCTGAAATTCACCTGTACCGCATGTCTTTGGACTGCTAGGGAAACTGGAGCGCTCTGAGGAAACCCACGCCAACATGGGGAGAACATGCAAACTCCGCACAGAAATGAGAACTGGCCCAGTGGGGACTTGAACCAGCGACCCTCTTGCTGTGAGGTGAAAGTGCTAACCACTAAGCCACCGTGCCGCCAATATTTGAGCTATAAGAATGATAATTGTTCAACTAAAAGCTGGTCTAAAGTCCAGCGCAGAGCGCATTAGTTATGCGCCTGCGCAGGTCCAAACGCTTACACGTTGTTTAAGACACACAGGATGTATAGCATTACACAAATATTGTTACACATGAAAGAAATTAAAGGATTAAAAATGATTATTTTCTACATTAATATAAAAACCACTGCCCCTATGCCTTCTTCTTGTCAGGGAGCTTAGTTCAGTTTATTCATGACAATTTGCATTTGTATAATGTTATTATTATTAGCAGTATTATTTATTTTATGAGTGTCTTACGTGGAGTGTTTTCACCGTTTACTTACACCACAAAAGTAAAGAGAAAGTAAAGAGGCCGAATGGAAGAGGCTAAATCTTTATCCTCGTGCTCCAGATGGTCTATTTTAACTTTTTTTTTTTTTACAAGTGAATCGTTCAGTTTTTACTCTCACAAAGTCCGCCAATCTTAAAAAAAAAAAAAAAAACGTAATTTTACGGTTTATTTCCGGCAGCTGGGGTGGCGAAAAAAAAGTTAAATAACGGCCATTAAATTATAGAAACTTACCGTAACATAACAGATATTAAATTACTGGAATTTCCTTGGATTTAAATTTCTGGTAAATTTCTGTAATTTAATATCTGTTATTTTACTGTGAATTCTGTAATTTAACGGATGTTTTTTCCGTATTTTTCTGTCACCCTAGATGCCAGAAATAAACCGTAAAATTACTGATTTTTTTTTTTTTACAGTGCATGTAAATAGCAAATGTGCCATGTGTGATGCAACTGACTCTTAAAAAGAAAGGGAGAAGCGACTCTGATTGGTTTAATGCATGTTATGCTCAAAACACAGCCATAACTTGGCCCACATGGAATCTACGTGCACAGAATTCCGCAGATGTTCAGCCCATCATTAATTCTGTTTATTAACCTGAGTAAATGTGTGTAAATCTGTATTTATTCAGTTTTTTAATTAATTACAGTAATATTATTAACTAAGGCCGTACTCACACTAGGTACAGTTGCCTCGAACCGGGCCAAAGCACGCTTTTCCCCCCTCCCGTCTCCCCCGACGGCCCGCGCTCACACCATATCGGGCCTCGGCACGCTTACGTCATCGCTGCTGCGCTGTTCAGAAGCGCTCTGTATGGCAAGCCTTTTTAGCATTTAAATCTTTGTTCTGACTCCATAAATATATTTAGAGAAAAATATTTGCAGATATCTCTAAATGAGTTTTGACTCGTCAAAAATCCAATTCAAGATATCTACAACTGTAATTCGACTATTAGTAAATTAATTAGAGATATCTTCAAATATATTTGTAAATATCTCTAAATATGACGAATTAAAGACATCTCCAAATGTATCACTAGTAAAAACTCAGTTAGAGATATTTCTAATTACAATTGTAACTAGTCAAAACTCATTTAGAGATATCTGCAAATATTTTTCAATGGAAGTCAATGGAGGAATATGACTAGTCATAATATATTTGCAGATATCTAAAATCTGATTTCGTACTAGTACAATTGCAATTGCAGATATCTCTAATTGTTATTCTGACTAGTCGAATTATAATTATGACTAGTCAAAATACATAATTATATCTCTAAATATATTTATGGATAGTCAGAACAAGGTTTAAATGTTAAAACGGCTTGCCATACGCTCTCACTCAGCAGCACAGAGGAGATTTCTCTAGTTATATCCTTTCAGTCGTTTGTTATGCAGTGACATGCAGTCAAATATTTCGCCAAACAGTCCTTAGGGATGCGGGGACACGCAGTCAGATATTTTACCGAACAGATCCGCCACTTTTGGCGCTCATAAACAATCAAAGCTCTCGTGCTGCAGGAATGAGGAGGTCTGCTGAAGATGCAGCTGGCATGCTGTGAGGAGTTTGCGTCTTTAATAAACTACGGCAGTTTGCGTTCACTGAACAGTAAGAATGATTAATAAATCCATATGAAACAGTCCCTTAAAAGTCACGTCTCGCTTTCAGTTTCGGGCTTTGGCGCGTTTCGCGCTCACACACAAGCGTACCGCGCCAAAGCCCAAGTGATCCGCGCTCAGGCACACCTCTTCCAACCGGGCCAGGGCCGGCCAAGTGAACCGTGCTTGAGCCCGATTCAGCGCACTCACACTTCTCAAACGATCCGGGAAACGGGCCTGGGCACGGTACGGATGGCATAGTGTGAGTAGGCCCTAATATGAAAATTTTCATCTGATTTATGCACAATGCAGTTTGTGCAGTAATATTTTCTGTCTTTTAGTTTCTGCATTGTATGAGAAAGTTGCTTTGTTTACCAAATAAAGTGGATCTAATTGGATTTGCATTTTAAGCATTAAATAAAAGATAAAAAGGTATTACTTTTTTAATTCACATATTAAGGTTTTAGTTATGATACTCCCAAAATAATTCCACAGAAATCCGCGGATTTTTACCAAAATTCTCCACAGAAATAGCAAAAAAACGTCAGCAGATTCTGTCTGGCTCTACCCATAACTCATTAAGAGAATAAGCACAACCCTGTTAGACCATGCGCCAGGACGCAAAGCGCATTTTTCCATCCTTAAAATAACATAAGTGGATTCAAACACACATTTAATGCTTTTTGCACCATGCGCTTTAGACTTCGAGTCTAGATCATTAAAATAGAGCCCTTGATAACCTTATTGGTGAGAATCTAAGAACAGAAGAAAATAAATAGAGTGTTTATCAGATCTAAATACGTATACTGTTAAAGAAAACACACACAAAGAAACAGATACAGTCGGGAAGATCAATTAAGACTTTAATTGGACTACTTTAAGTATATTACATGACTTGGACATAGATAGTTGACCGTTTTAATAAATTATTCAATAAATAAATCAGTGAATGAGTCAATATAGGCAATCAAACGCTTAATATGTTTGCTTTTTGGTTGGTTGGTCATTGACATACTGAGTCATGTGGCTTAAAAAGAAACCATGGATGCTTTAAAAGGGTCACATACAAAAAAAAAAAATCCTCTGAGAACCAACAAGGCCCAGCTGCACAAATGCTGTGATTCTCCAGCACCTGTTTGCACACTGAACTCAGGACAATACATTTGATTATCAAACACGTTGTCCTATTTACACGTACGCGTTCACATATAAGACTGGGAAAGAATAACGAGTTCATGTTTCAGTTTCTTTTGGACATTTGAATACGCTTTATCCCTGTGCCCTTTCATGGAAGTATATTGCATTGAGTAATGTCCTGCTTTGTCCAGAATAATGCATTAAAGCAACAGGCAGCCGAAAGGTCAAATGTCTATGAACAACAATGGCAGACGATGTTAAATAGGTCCCATTATGAAAAGATAAACAGTTGTGGTTGAACAATCACTTCAAACACTCTCAGAAATAAAGGTACAGGAGCTGTCACTGGGGCAGTACCTTTTCAAAAGATACTTGTACCCAAAGAGTCCACAATGGTACTTCAATGGTCCATATTAATGTTCAAATGTACTTAAAAAGTTCCTCTGAGGTACTATTCTGCACTCTTCAGGTACAAATATGTATCTTTTGAGAAAGATACTGCCCCAGTGATAGTTCCTGTACCTTTAATTCTGAGAGCGTACAATGTTTTTTTTTTATGTGTGTGTGTGTGTGTGTGTGTGTGTGTGTGTGTGTGTGTGTGTGTGTGTGTGTGTGTGTGTGTGTGTGTAGCAGACTGCATCAATCTGCTCTAAAGCCTTTAGATAATCCAACATAATTACATTGGGCTTTTTTTGAAGACACATCTTCGTTTTAATCCAACTGAAGGTGCACACTGGCTTCAAACCAGCATATTTTTGCACTGTATTGGCACAATCTTCAGAGGATCTGTTGTTAGGCCACTGCGTTTGGGCTAGAATGCGCTAATCCAGGCAAAGCAGAACATAACTTGATACTAAATGGAAAAATGTACACCAGTATAAACAGAAACAAGTGCGTTTGGATGCTTTAGGCACCTCATTTAGGGTGCATTGAAATTGTAGATACAGAACATGCTGGCAAGTGTGTGCGTGCCAACACAAACACACACGCTCGCGCGCAGATAAAGCAGCCAAGAGAAGCGTGCTCACACACACAGGGAGCGCATACACTTCCCTGCAAATACACACACACAGATTGTTTGAAGCTCCCGCCGCTCCGCGCAGTTGCCACATGCCGACAGTTTGTCTGGCACTGAAGCAAGAGGCAAATCAATAGGGAAACCCGTGACATTTTTTTGGTATAATATATTCTTTTTCATTTTTTAAGCTTTTATAAAAAGTCATTGTGAAAGCGTGACTTATGTGCACATGCTCTTTGTGGATCTTTCTGAACGAATTACCAAAGCATACCTCTTCTTTTCACTTCCCTCCTACTCTCGACATTGCGTGGAGCAGAGGCTACACCAGTCAGATCTGTTTGGTCACATCAGTTGACAGAGATGGATGCAGAACCGGAGGAACGAACGAGGGGGGTGTACAGGATTTGAAAGGTGCTTCATTTCCAATCATGCATCCAATTAGCCACAAGCACATACAGACACACTACGCCCCCTTCTTCACCATTGCTCCACCATCAGATCCAGGACCCTGTTGACGTTTAGGTCCGAGTCGAGGCCAAAGTCGCTCTCAAGAAACGGGGCGGCAGGGGGCGTTAGTGGATGCAGACCAGAGGTCAAGGTCTCCAGCCAATCAGCGGGGTCAAAAGCGGGGACCTCTGACCTTCTTTTCCTGGACAGGGAGGTTGATGGTGGAGTGGTGCAGATGGGGGGAGGGGGAAGCGGAGCTGGGGTCGGACAGAGGGCTGAAGTGTTGTTAGGTGAGGGAGGAAGCTCTAAAAGAAGCGAAGAGCATAAAGGAGACGACAGGAAGTTGTCATCTTTTTGCCGCTTGGTGGACTGTGATTGGTCAGGCTGTAGGGCAGAGGAGAAGCCTGAGACGACGAGAGCGGCTGATTGGATGTCTGTGACGAGCGAAGAGTTATCTGAAAAGATAACAAAATAATTTAATGGTGAATTCAGTGTTAAAGATGTTTGATGGATCTTAAGTATGGGTGTGAGGAAATCTGATGAGCCTCATGATATCTGGCTGAGATTGGTGTGAAATCAGTTCCAAATCGGTTACTTTTCTTTGACAGTCAAAATAGCCAATATGAACTTGGAAAAGTGATTCTTAAGTAGCAGTAAAACACTGCTGGGCTAGAAGTAACCGCTTGCGTCAGAACCGCTTGCGTCAGGAGAGCAGGCACTGCAAACAATACTTTCCTTACTTTTTTGTTTTGATTCTAGTCCAAATATCTAAAAACTTCTAAACTAAGAAGCATTTTCTGGACAAGCAAAACATATTGTCTTGTTTTAAGAAATAATATGTTAAAATTAAGTGAGTATTTCCCTAAAACAAGCAAAATAATCTGCCAATGAGGAAAGCTAAATTATCTGAAGTCAAAAGGAAAAACTAGATTATTTTGCTTACCCCATTGGCAGATTATTTTGTATGTTTTAAGGTAAAACCTAAAATGTTGCCGTATTATTTGCATTTTATTTGCATGTCTAGAAAACGCTTCTTGGTTTAACACCTTTTGACATCTGGACTAGAAATGAGACAAAAAATCAAAGTAAGAAAAGCTTTTTTGCAGCAGCACTAGGCATCTCGAAGTCCTGCACATTGGCTCCAGGCTGGTGGACCTTTTCCAATCCCATCCCCACTCTCTCTCCAACTTTGCTTACTCTCTACAGATGTTTATATACCAATAAAGAAACAAAAATGTCCAAAATAAATTAAAAAACAACAATAACATGACCTTTTGTAAGGGTGTTTTCAAACCTGCCTTATTTAGATTGGTTGAATCTCACTAGAGTTTGTTTTCCCTATTGGTGTGGTTCGTTTGGGCAGGTGTGAATGTAGACTAAAAAAGCGCACTGAGACCTCCTTGAATAGGTGGTCTTGGTACGATTTCAAACGAAGCCTGGAGAAAAACATGATCCGAACTGGAACAGACACAACCGCAAAAAGTACTCCATCTTTTTGGACTAATCTAGCTGCTGTAGCCGATGCACTGGGATGTAGAGAAAGAATCTCTGTTGACAGTGCTTTACCAATAATGTTAAACAAAGAAAGAGAGGAAAAACATTACCTGATAGACCGTTGGTAATTTTTTCAGAAGATGACCATGTCACAGTTTGGTTAAATTAATTTACACCTCCTACTGAAGTGACTTGCGATGCGCATTCATTGTTTGCATGCATTAAAACATTGTTTTCCAGCAGCTGCGCTTCATTCTCGAAATGTATAGTTTATCTAAAGTGACGTATACAAACTATATAATATACTATAACCAGAGATCCAATCAGCCAGCGCAGTCATCCCTCCATAGTAAGAGACATTAGCCCCTTTTACACATACAGATCAAAATTACTGGCAATTGTCCGGAAAGGTCTGTATGTGTGAACAGGCCCTTTTTAAAAATACCAGTAAATTCGTTCTGGCTATTTTCCGGAAAGAGAAGTTATAACATTATCGGTAATTTGCCGGAATGCTGCGCTGTGTGAACGCCGATGGAAGATTGCCAGAAAGCGCGTGTTCACATCTAGACCATGCTGACGTGAGACGTCTGCATTAGCCAATCAGAACAGTCAGACGCATTTACGTCCGCGCGGTTTAGGAGAATAAAAGCCTCTGAATATTTTCCCAGACACACTTAGCTGCTAGAAGTTAGTCAGATCACGTTTATATGTTCATCTTAATACCAACTGTATAAATAATTATCGATAAGATGCTTATGATAAACCGTTGTTTGTTTACCTTCAAGCTTTGCGTGTGCCCGTGAAACAGCCTGTGAGCGCCAGCACACACACATATCATGTACATCTCAACATGTGAAAGTGTTTCTCTATATGTTTTTATCGGAGTTGTTCACAATACTGATCCATCCACAGAGGCTGTAATGTAGTCAAATGTTTACAAATACAAGCGCAGCCGTTTAGAGCTCATTTCAGGTTAATGATGTCAGAATTTACCGGTATTTTGGAATGGATGTGTGAATGGCCCTTTCCAGAAAAAATCTGTAAGGTTCTCGCCTGTGTGAACAGCGCTTTTTTGAACTTACCGGTAAAGTCATTCCAGAAATTTTCCAGATATTTACCGGTATCACTGTGTGAAAGGGGCTATTTTGTGTCTGCCAGTTTGTTTACCTGCATGAGTTCCGTTGGCATTTTCCCGCATGTAAATTCTGACCAATTGAAAAGCAGTTTAGAAAATACTTTCAATAACATCTGGCCAATAAGTGATGTGAATTTTGTCACATGACTGCATTTTAGTTCTTTTCAACTGGTTCGGACCAAATTAATCAGTGTGGTGTGAAAAGTACCCAAAACGGCAAAAAAGGTATCATTTGTTGCCCTTGGTCCGGACCAAATGAACCGAACTATAGATGTGAAAGCACTCTTAGGCTATTCTGTATAGTACACATTTCAAGTATAGTCCTGTGAGTTTCTAGAGAGCACTGTTTTGATTATAGTGAATTACTGCACTCATAGGTTGCACTTAAAAGAATGTTTGTTTTATTTATGCTATTAGTAGTTTTTGTACAATTACTTGCGGTTGAGTTTGTGGGAAAAATATTGCAGTGAGTTTTCAAAATGCACCTAAATTTATTTTTTTATTTATTATTTTTTTTGAATAAAATACTATATTTTATTATATATTTTTTCACTGAGAATTTCTTTAAAGTCTAAAAATCTCATCCTTGTGAACCCAGTCTCATGCCCTACCTCGGGTTGATATGCGTCTCGTCACACCCCTAATCTTAACCTATTTGTCATCCACAACCAGCTGTCAGTGATTTTAAAAATGTCATAATTGCTGTCTCTCTTCAGATAATTTTCAGAAATACTCTTAAATTTTAATCCACTAGTCAAGTTTTACTTACCTGAACCACCAATATTCACATCCAAAATGTCATCTATGGATTGAGAAGGGTCCATCTTACATGGTGAAAGAAGAGTGGACAGGAAGTTGAACGTCAGTGCTCATTGTTAATGAACAGCGATCAATTCATCAATAGTTGCATATTGAAGGAATTGTCAACAGCAGACGGCACATAAACTCGTAAACACTCACCTGCACTCTTTGAATGGCCTCCTGTAGTTCCTCTTCCAAACTGCGGACAGTGGGTGATGCTTGTGCTGGACTGGCAGTGATTTGCATTGGCAAATCAAAGTCCTGCCCAATTGCATCACAAAGCTGACAGCAGTTTACCTAATATTAAGAATAACAATAAAGAAAGAAATGTATCTCAATAAGTATGTTTCAGTGGACATTAATATGATTAGGATAATGCTCTGATTAAGAATCTAATATGTAATCAGATTTTAGATTACTTTGATCCAGTTAAAAAGTCAATATCAAAGTAAACAAATTAAATTAAGACATGTGCAGTAGTCCTCTATATGTCCCATTAAAGAGCAGAGAAGGCCTGTTGCTGGAGAATTTATATCTGTCACCATTTGTTTGCTCATTTAAATAAATGAACTGCAGTTCAAGTGTCGATAAACTAAAAATAAAACATACTAAATTCATATAGTACCCTTTACGAACATGAATTATGATGAGTGAAACTTTAAAGGAAACATTGGATAGTGTCATGTGGTGATGTTTAATCATATTATAGTCTTATTCAGGGCTGCACATTGGCGCAGTGGGTAGTAGTTCACCTCACAGCTGGACGGTTGATGGTTCGAGCTTTGACTGGGTCAGTTGGCATTTCTGTGTGGAGTTTGCATGTTCTCCCTGTGTCCGTGTGGGTTATCTTTCCCCACAAGTCCAAAGACAAGCGGTACAGGTGAATTGGGTAAGCTAAATTGTCCGTAGTTTATGTGTGTGAATGGGTGTGTATGGATCTTTCTCAGTGATGGGTTGAAGCTGGTAGGGCATCCGCTTCGTAAAACAAATGCTGGATAAGTTGGCGGTTCATTCCGATGTAACAACCCCAGATTAATAAAGGGACTAAGCCGAAAAGAAAAATGATTGAATGAATGAGTAGTCTTATTCATTTATTCATTCATTTTCCTTCAGCTTAGTTCCTTGTTTATCAGGGGTTACCACCAAGGGCGCCACTAGCCGACACGGGCCCTATGACAACATTCTGGTAGTGTCATGGAAGAAAGTGAAGAGCGAAAATTGGGCCCCCTGATAGTAAAGCTGGGGGCCCCAAAATGGCGTGGGCACTGAAAATCATCCTAATCTTACCCCTACTTGCACCCCTGGTCACCCCAACGGAATTAACTATTCCAGCATATGTTTTACACAGCAGACGCCCTTCCAACCACAACCCAGTACTAGAACACTCCCAACCCTGACCCTACCCCTACTCTAACCCTATCTCTAACCTAGTACTGAGAAACTCCTATACATTCTCGCAGTCACACACAATTTTGTTTACCCAATATACCACGTCTTTGGACTGTGGGGGAAACTGAAGCATCTGGAGGAAACCCACAGGAAAATGGGAAGAACATGCAAATACCACACAGATATACCAACTGGTTCAGCTTGGACTCGAAACAGCAACCTTCTTGCTGCGAGGCCACCATGCCACTAGTCCTATTCAGATTAAGGTAAATAATTTGATTACTGATGTCTATGCATAGTAAATTCTGTTTTTTTTTTTTTTTTTTGTGCTGATATTACTCATCTCATGAGCTACAAAATATCTAACAGATAATGTACCCCCATTATATTTTCATGCCACATCCCAAAACTCCCAATACTCAAAGTGCTTACTTTTCCATCACCACTGCAGTATGTAAAGAGCAGTTCCTGTCCACCTGTTTCTGCTTTCCCTCTGTTACACCCTGGCTCCTGTTGCAGGAACGGATGAAGGGAACTTCCACACAGCTGGACAAAGCAGAAGGAAGGAACAGCACAATAAATGCTTGAAAACGAAAAGAAACTGATATAGCACGAATAAAGTCAATAAGAAAACATCAGAATCAGGAAAGGCATCCTTACTCACCTGAGTGTCCTTTGCTCCATCTCTGGGTCTGCTCCTAATCCTCTCTCTCATTTCCAGCTCAACACTGAGTTCATCTACTGCCTGGCCTGGTCTCCATGTTGCACCAGAGGGCATTTGAGGGGACGATGTATGCAAAGTAGGGCTAGAGCCAGCAGAAGAGGGAGAAGTTAGGAAACCATCACTAGCTAAGCTTGGCTCGGCTAAACCTGTGTAAGTGGAATTGGAGGAGGTGTCTATGCTGGTGGGGCTTAGGTTTAGGCTGGCAGGGTGGGACGGTTCTAGTGTGGACCCTAATTGGCAAAGTGGAGCAGGGGTTAATGGGGGACGAGGCATTTGGAAGGGACGGAGTCTCTCCAAAAGTGCCGGCTTGGTGCCAGAAACTGGGAGTCCACGTTTACGCAACTGCTGACGAAGAACTGACACCTGAAAAGAGGGAGAAATACATTCAATGTTCTACACAAAACGTATGCATGCAAACAGTTTGAAGACCAAACAATCCAGAGCAACACAGTCTAATCCTGCTCCTGGGGGTCAACATAACATTAGATTTAATTCCAACCAGTTGCCTAGGAGTTTCTAGTGAGCCTTGAACATCTGGTCTGTTTAACCATGGTTGGAGCCGAAATTTCAAGACAGTGATCCTTCATGAATTTTACTGAACTCCCTTAAACTTGACCATGGGTCTTCAAACCTGCTTCTGGAGGGCCACTTTACTACTGGGTTACTAACCTTAATTAAACACACCTAAACCAACTAATCAAGGTGTTCGGGATTACTTAAAACCCCATCCCTTGAAATCTGTTGGCTATAGCCGAATTGAGCAGGACTGCCATTTTGGAGCAGGATTGGTCATCTTAACCAGTTCTTACCGTCAAGTCATCAAGGTTTGAAGGCAGTAACTCTGCTTGGTGGATGGGACTTGTATCAGGAGTAGAAGGGTTTGTTGATGGTGTTGCAGACTGAGGAGAACTCTGAGGTGTAGATCCAGAAGTCTTCAAATTGTTCTCACTATTGATTGGATGAATAACATAATTGTATGAATTACTCTTTGATTCCACTGTGCTACCATTTAACCTAGAGACTTTCCCTTTTCCACCAACACAAACCAGATAGTTCAGAGCCAGTGCTATTGTCCGTTCGAAGCTGGCCATTTAAAAACTTCTTTGCTTTTCCACTTTCTAGAGCCAGGTCTGATGTCACTGCATACATCTAATTTTTCCCAACAACACAAATGCGGAAGTGCCAAATACAAACACAGCATAAACAATGCATTGTTTTAAATGCTATAACTTTGTGAACCTACACAATGAATCTGTGTATATACAGATTTTACAAGTGACAATAACATGTTCATGCACCCACCATTTGCAAGAGACTCAGAATACAAGTAAGAATAGCATGTTCATGCAGTGCGCTGTCACACTAAGTAAAGTTGCCTTGAACCGTGCCGAAGCACTTGTCCCCCCTCCACTCTCCCCCTGTCGGCCTGCACTCACACTACATCTTTACTGTCTGAACCAGAGCACGCTTACGTAATCGATCACTGTTGTTCAGAGAAGTGCTCTTGGACAGCACAGTGGACATTGCTTTAGCTGTATTTATTTGTATTATTTTTAGTTGTTTAGGATGCAGTTGCATGCAGTCAAATATTTTGCTGAACAAATCCACAACATTTGACTCTTATAAATTATCATAAAAGCCCTTGTGCCGCACGTATTAGGAGGTTTTCACCTTCCAAATAAAACAGCCTCTTAAAAGTGACGCCAAGTCTTTAGTTTCGTTTTCAGGCATGCTTTGTACTTACACTACAAATGTACCAACCAAACCGCGCTCTGGCATTCCTCTTCCAACCAGGCCTGGGGATGGCCAACTGAATCATGCCTGGGCCCGATTCAGAGCACTAACACTTGTAAAACGAACCTGGAGCGAGCATGGGCACGCTTAAGGTTAATAGTGTGAGTGCACCCAAGAAGTGCTCATGTGTTCAGCATAATGTTCGCTGCTATTCCTGACCTTATCCCCTGACTCAAATGGTTTTTACTTCTAGCTCAGCAATAATAAGGTGCTACTAGAGAGACAATAATCCTGGTTCAGATTGCTTTGGGTGTCAAAAGGTAAAGTAGCAATTTGGAGCAAGGTTCTGGCTGTAAACCAGCACTTAAACTACCTTGGTGTAAAAGGGGTAGGAGTAGCAAGAATACAATTTTGGCTGTGATTTTGCTGAGAGAAATTTCAGAATCACAAAAGATTGCACATATCAGTTGGCCTTTATTCATTTAATGCTAGATTACATTACTCTACTTTTCTCATTTGGAATTGGGGAAAGGTGATGCAGGTTGATACAAGTGAGAACTACAGCTTCCAAACTGTATATGAGGATTTTACGTTCTTGCTTTTTACTCTATGCTGCCACCTAATCCAAATATTTTTCACGGTAAGGCTGACATAAAATAGTGATTCTGGATTTTATTTAGAATTTCAGTTATATTGTAGGAAAATGTGAAAATAATACCAATCATAGAGCATGCACAGGGCTTTAGCTGTACAAATCATGCATTTTTCCATGAGTGTTTTGTTTGGAGGATTACCTGTTTGTCACAGGGAGTTGTTGTTGCTGGTTGAGAATTTGTAGTTGTAAGAACACCTGCTGTTGTTGCAAGAGGTGCGAGTATGAGGAATCAGTGGCCGGAACCTGACTGTTGTTATTTTTTTGTGAAGCATTTGCAGCTCCGCTTCCAGTCCCAGTCCTTTGATCTGGAGGAATGTACTGATGGTATTTCAGTTTCCTCATTTTAGGCTTTGAATCGCGAGGTTTCCGTGGTCGTGAAGGGCGGGATGAATTTAAGGACCCACCCAGAATGGAATGAGAAGGTGGAGCTGGAGGCTGTGCGGTCTTGAGGCAAACAAAGCGAAAATGTGATTAACATAATTTGGAAAAATGACATTATCTAGTAGATGAGAGAAATAATGAAGGATGAAATGGGGCGAGAAGCAAAACAAATCATTATTTTAATTCTCTGTACCTTTGGCAGCAGTGGTGGTGTCTGGGAGGGCATGTACATCCCTTTGGGTCTCCCAGTTGTTATGGAGTTTGACCCCGTTACTGTCATGGTCATTGGTTGGCTGATGCACTCGGTTGCCGGGAGCAACGCCAATCTACACTGCTGTAAAAAAAAAATAAAAATGAGTCTGTAATGGTGAAAATTCTGAGTAACCGCCTTCCAGCCTTTTAACCTGAACTTAGAGGTATTTTCTGACCCACTAGCTGCACCAAACCGATTTAAATGTCAGTTGAAATCAGAATTATTGGCCTCCCTTTGAATTTCTTTTTCTTTTTTTTCTTTTTCTTTTTTTTACATATTTCCCAGATGAAGTTTAACAGAGCAAGGACATTTTCACAGTATGTCTGATAATATTTTTTTCTTTTGGAGAAAGTCTTATTTGTTTTATTTTGGCTAGAGTAAAAGCAGTTTTTAATTTTTTTAGAACCTAGTTAACCTAATTAACATAGTTAAGTCTTTAAATGTCACTTTAAGCTGTATAGAAGTGTCTTTAAAAATATCTAGTCAAATATTATTTACTGTCATCATGGCAAAGATAAAATAAATCAGTTATTACAAATGAGTTATTAAAACTAATATGTTTAGAAATGTGTGGGGAAAAAACTTCTCTCTGTTAAACAGAAATTGGGGGAAAAATAAACAGGGGGCTATTAATTCAGGGGGGCTAATAATTCAAACTTCAACTGTATATTCATTAATATAAAGCAAAAAATACAAAAATACCTAAAAGTGAACAGGGAGCATTTTTTGTTTACTCAGTGTGGTTTGGTGCTTGAATAAAGAGAAATATTTGGTAACACTGGTATATACAGACCAATTATCACTATTAACTACTGGCTTATTACTGTACCTGCCTATTATTAAGATATTGTCTGTTTATTACAGCTTCCAGGGCAACCAGCTATTTACAACGAAGATAAAGTGATTTTTTGTATAGGCAATGAGACAGTTTTTCGGATTCCTTTGAGACGGATTACAGAAAGTGAAGTTTTAAAAATTATTAGTGAGTTAAAATTAAATAAGGCTCCTGGAATTTATAATATTCCTGCAAGATTCTTTTAAAGACTTTGTTAAATTGATTGCCCCCTATTACATATTTTAAATGTATCAATTAAACAAGGAAAACACAATGTGATTTTAAAAGTGCTTGAGTTATGCCTTACATAAAAAAGGTAAAAATGTACGTTAGGTAAGGTTAATTATAGACCTGTTTCAATCTTGGGGATGATGTCTAAAATTCTGGAAAAAAATGTAGACAAACAGATTGTCAGCTGTATTAGTAAAAAAAAAAATTGTATGAACTACAGTCAGGTTTTAGACCATTACATTCTACCGAGACATGCATATTACATATGACTGATAAGGAGTCCTGTGGATGGTGGCAAATATTGTGAGATGGTGCTGCTTGACCTTCAGAAGGCATTTGCCACTGTAGACCATCAAATTTTATTATATAAATTAAAGGCAATTGGGCTTAATAAAGCGACCATAAAGTGGGTTCAGTCCTATCTGGATGATAGAAGCCAGAGAGTTGACATAAAGGGTGTTTTCTGCTAACCTTATCAATAAATTGTAGAGTTCCTTAAGAAAGTATTTTAGGTTCATTATTTTATCTTTTATATATTAATGATTTAAAAGTAGCATGTTCAGAGGATCTCAATCTTTATGCTGATGATGCCGCAATGTTTGTATTTCATCAAGACAAAAGTGCCCTGGAAGAAATCATGAATTCCCAGTTAAGAGTTTTGGTTTATATCAACTAGTTTTTAGTAATACACTTTCTTTATACCTAGGTAAAACAGAGGCTATTTTATTTGCTTCAGTACTTAAATTAAAGAAGAATGATTCTTTTGGGGTTATGATTAATTCTTATAAAGTACATATTCTGCATTATATTATTTTAAATTCTCAGGCCTACCAAATACATAAACATAGCTACCTTATTAACGAATAAAAAGAAGCCAATTAAGAGTTTATTGAGCTAAAAAGGCATAGTTAATGTTTTATTATTAGTGAGAACTGTACCATTAAAAAGTGTGACCACTTTTTTTTTAATTAAACAGTTTAATTTTGAATAAAAGAGAATAAAAGGACAAATTAAATTGATAGACTTAGTTTTAAAACTGTGTAGGTGTTATATGCCCATTATACCTGTACATTGTTTGGACTGATAGGCGTAGCAACAGGTGACACATCACTCAGTGATTGGTCACCTCCTTGCCCAGGTGATGATGAGGAGAAGCCGGGAGATTGGTGCATCCCGAGTTGCTCGGGAGATGCAGAGGCAGAAGAGGAGTTGTCATCTTCAAAGACATCTGATGGCAATAAAGCAGCTGAGGCAAAGGAAATGGTGAAATGGTGAAATGTATCAATTTCTCTGCAGCAACCCTAGTTATAGATTAAATGTTATGTGCAAAATGTGCAACTAAAGTTTTTTATATATTTGTGAGGTTATTTTTCCCCTATGAATTTATTTTGTTTTATTTTTGGCTTCAGTTAGACAGGATAGTTGAAGAGCTGACAGAAAGCAAAAACGGAGGAGAGCAGGGATGGGTTGGGGAGTAAATGTGGTGGGTGGTGACGATTCTAGAAGTTTGGTAACCCAAACCGCAACCATGCTGCATGTCTGAGCACTGCAAGCTCCGAAAAATATAGATACTGTTAAACCACTAGTCACACTAAGCTGATATAACGATACAAAAAGCAATTAAAGAATTCAGATACAAGTTACATCTTAAACTTTCTTCTAAAATGATCGTATTTCTCAAAATCCTATGTTTATGTTTTGTTATTTTATTTTAAATGCAATGCCAAGAATCTACTCTTTGCCACAAAAGTAAAATTACTGAAACTACACGAAGGAGCCTGAGAATAATTGTTCATTTGAGGAGAAACACTTGGAGTTTTTGGCATCTGAAATCTTCAAATATAATCAAAACCTCATGAACTGTATATTAGAAAATCCTGATATGCGTTACAATTAAAATATGTTAATAATGCTGTTAATTGGCTAACTATTTACTATTAATTTTATGCTGCAGATTTTTATACAAATGGTGGAATATATCTGTTAGCTGGATTTTGTCAGAGCCTGCTCAATGTCAGTATATTGTGCAGATTCGCAAGAGTGCTATGCCCTTTATGTGTCACGCTCAGTTGGACTGCTGATTCATCACTATTGATGCCCTTGTGCTTTGTTTCAAACCGATTAACTGCCCCATGGTCATCTAGGGCAGGGGTGTCAAACTCAATTCCTGGTGGGCCGAAGCCCTGCACAGTTTAGTTCCAACCCTGCTCCAACACACTTACCTGTAGGTTTCAAACAAGCCTGAAGGACTCAATTAGTTTGATCAGGTGTGTTTAATTAGGGTTGGAACTAAACTGTGCAGAGCTGCGGCCCTTTTGGAACTGAGTTTGACACCTGTGATCTAGGGTGTACATCAGGAAAGCGCACCCTATACTGACACTGAGGAGAAGAAACCGTTAAATAAAGTCATTATTTGTGTTTTATATGAGCACAAAAGTATTCTCATATCTTTATAAAATGTACCACTGAAGACTAATGGTTTATTCTGGTTATTTATTTCTTTTTTTCCGACTATTTATGTGGTCTATGAAGGATGAGAGAGCTCATGAACTAGCTTTTTAGGATACACCTGTTTCATGAAGCCAGTTGTACAAAATTGGATTTGCAGAGTTGATTTAGCATTCACAAAACATTAATTTCATTATTTAAAAAAACAAAACATTATCTGCCAAATCAGAATTTAAATCAGAGTTCGTGATTTGCTCTGGACCACATGCAGCTAGATGTGTGACATGCAACAAACGCCAAAACACAAGAAATTGAAGACCATCAGTTTGTCAAATAAATATTTACATTAATTTAAAGTTTATAAATTTATAGTGTAATATTAACTGACAACTCAAAATTATAGAAATATATATTATACATTTAAATAAATACAGTTCATATATAAATATACATTATTGGCAGAAAAAGATTTTCCCTCAGAAATGTTTTTTAAACAGCTTCGATTTGGAGTAAAACTTACACACGTGATTTAGGGAATTGAAGTCAGAATTATTAGCCCCCCTGTTTATTTTTTCCTCCAATTTCTGTTTAAAGAAAACACATTTTTAAACTTAATAGTTTTATTAACTCATTTCTAATAACTGATTTATTTTTTCTTTGCCATGATGACAGTAAATAATATTTGACTAGATATTTTTCAAGACACTTCTATACAGCTTAAAGTGACATTTAAAGGCTTAACTAGGTTAATTAAGATAACTAGGCAGGTTAGGGTAACTAGGCAAATTATTGTATAATGATGGTTTGTTCTGTAGAATATCAAAAAAATAAATATAGAGTAAAAGGGCTAATAATATTAACCTAGAAATAGTGATTAAAAAATTAAAAACTGCTTTTATTCTAGCCAAAATAAAACAAATAAGACTTCCTCCAGAAAAAAAAATATTATCAGACATACTGTGAAAATTTCCTTGCTCTGTTAAGCATCATCTGAGAAACATTTTAAAAAAAAAGGAAACAAAACAAATTCAAAGTGGGCAAATAATTCTGACTTCAACTGTTTAAGTCACTTTATCAACAGCTGATCCAGTGTTGGTCACTGTGATGAAACCAGGTAAAATCCAAACATCTTAAAAACTTAAACTGGATTTGTGCAACAGGCCTCTGGTATTTAGATGCATTTTTGTCAGTCTAACAATAAATGAACAACAATACAGGTGTATCTAAATAGTTTGAGCTTGTCCACTTTTGTCAAAATCCATAGTCAAGAGCATATCTATTGGCAAACTAGGGAGTATTATATACAGCAATTTAAAACCCAAATCTGCTATCTATATTAGTTGAACTGTTTTAGAAATTAACCATTTAGCATACTAGCTTAGCATCTCGATGCTATCCGAATGTTAGTATAAAAACAGTGTTTGTTTGTGAGTGTGGGTTTTTCTGTGCATATAAATATGCAGTTTGGCTTCTTGCTCAGTTTGTGAGACTTCAGTTTCAGTTAATGTCAATAACTCACTGTTCTCTGGAGGCAGAATATGCCTCTGCAGGAGTTCAAGTGGTCTAGGCCGACTCTGGATTTTCTCAGTCAGATCTTCAGCCAGACGAGCCTTCTTCTGCCTGTGAGCTCCACTGTAACTCCTGTCTGTGAGCGAGAGACATCCGGAGAGAGAAAGTGAGGACAAGAAATCAGAAAAAGAACAAAATGGATATTGAAAGATGGGGAATGTGAATGGCAGATCAATTGCTCTGCTTTATAATAAGCGAGGAGAGGAGGAGGAATATTTTAAAGACAGATATGAACGATTTTTTTTTTACAAAAGAGTTTGTTGTTGTGTAATCCAATTCAGACATTCAGAAAGCCACTGATAATAAGTGCAGAACTGAAGGACCTTCGGCTGAATGACTTGCAAATACAAAGAGCTGTTTGATGAATGGGGGCCGATGGATGTGTGAATGGCTAATGGACAAACCGCTCATTCCAGCTTTAAGGTTACAGCTTTGTTCGGCGCTGGTATTGGGGTATTCTTTTATGACTGAAGGTCAGGAAATATTGGCTGTGGATGATGCATCACCTGGTGCAGTTTGAGCAGTCAGGCCACTAGGGGGCGACTTCTGAGTGGATCCATCTTGCTGCATTGAGAAACAGCCCAGACAGATTGACATTAGTAAACAACATACTGTAAATCTTTATTTGTCCAACTTCTACTGTAACATAGTTAAAAAAAAAAAAAACAACAACGCTGATTGTTCTGACATTCTCCTGTAAGACAGACTACATTTTTCACCTCCTGACTGTAATTATCTTCAACCAGCTGCTGTTTACTGTCTTACTAATCATAATTAACTGTGCTAACAGTGTTTCACGGCTAATACTAATAGTTTGCGACAGTAACTAAAGATGTAATTACAAACATTAAATTATGCTAAAGAGGTAGATGAGCAGCTCATGTCTGTTATCAGGCTGTTTTGGCAGCGCTGAGTAGTTTGCTTATCTACACTGGCACCCTGGTTCACATCAGCCTGTTTTATATAAACCAGGCATACACATACTCCTGCTGCTGGAGTCTGTCAAGCGTGGAAGCCATTAGATACAGACATTGTGTGTTTTAGTTTGGAACTTCACCCTCAAACTAAGTTTGAAAGAGTTGCAGTCACATAATCTGTGGAAGCTTATTTCCCTCATGTGTTAAAAACAAGAAAGGTAGTTACACGTTATGACTTGATAGGATAGGATAGTTCACCCACAAATGAAAATTTACTTGCTATTTACTCAGCTGTTTCACTGTTTTTACTTGTGTGTGTATGTTTTTATATATATATATATATATATATATATATATATATATATATATATATATATATATATATATATATATATATATATATATTTAAATCAGAAATGTAAACTCACATCTACAAGTAAATGAATTGCTACTGCAAGATATAAACTTTAGACTTGAAAACAAGTCCAACTTTTGACATTTAATTGAAAAATGTAAAAAAAATTGTTGGTGTGTTTTTAGCCCTAAATAAACAGATTGGGAGAATATAAAGCCACTATTATTATTAGTTTACAGCTTGCAATTGTGGGAAAAAGGAGTCTGAAATAATATTATTACAATTATGAAATAAAAAATGTCTCAATTATCACATGTTGTGAAAAAAAAAAAAAAAAAACTTTGATGAGTGAAATGTACACTCAGAATTCTATCAAAAAAAAGGCAGACCTGCAAGATGCAACCCAGGCTCATTCTGAAAACGTAGTCCCGTGGACGTTTCTGGAGACCCTGAAATACGTCCCGGGAGGTAAGTATTATTGCAGTTTTAGTTTTCGCGAATCCGCAGGAGGCCGCTGTGTGCGCTTTATCGTATCTCGAACGTCTCTTGCGAGTGCCGCTCGCGCCCGCGCTGTTCTGGCGTGAACCCATCAGAGGCCGCTGTCTGACTGACCGAATGATTGACTGCGCGACCGGCCAATCGGCAGACCCACCCTCCTCCTTCCCTGAACCCAACCAGTTTTACCGACTGACCGCTCACTTCCCTAAACCCGAGCAACAATTTAGAAAAGCCGTCTAGAAAAAGAAAAGCCCTCGTCTGGTTTTTTCACCACGTTTTCAGATTTTACCATGTTCTCACCCTGTTATAAACTCGTTCACTTTATTTTTTGGATTCTGTTTTTGTCTTACCTGATTTCTGGAACCGGTCTTCCCCGGACTCGAACCCAGACGCCGTGGTCAACTCCACCTCTCTGCATTTGGTGTCCGCCGACGCACACGATGAGCTGACCGGAAAAATTGATTGTGGCGGGAAAGCCCTCCACACGGAGGTAAGCGGTCAGCCCGTAAGCACGAAAGGGAACATCGTCACACTGCCCCGTAGCGTTCGCTTAAAAAAATTAAATGCAGCCATACGTACCTCCCGGGACGTATTTTGCGGTCTCCAGAAACGTCCACGGGACTACGTTTTCAGAATGAGCTTGGGTTGGCAAGATGTGAACTTGCAACTTTAAGTTCATAACTTCCAATTGCAAGATATAGACTTGTGATTTTAAAGTAAAGAGTAAATAAAGTAAATAACTGTGAGTTATGAACTTGCAATTGTGAGGGGGAAGTCATAATTGTGAGATACAGTTAAAATTGTGAAATACAACTCCCGACAGAGGTAAACTGAGAAAAACTATTAAATTCCTCAACTCCTTGGCGCAAACAATCCTCCACAATAAACTTTCATTTTGTGGGACATACATTTCACTATTTCTCCTAGGACGTAGATTAATAATGCCTCACCAAACCATTGCTGACTTCTTTGTCCCCAGTTTTATCAGGAACTGAGGCCTTTGTACCTAAACAGAACATGAAAAGAAAGGATATCAAGAAAAAAGAGAAGACAAGCTGTTATAAAGCTAATAATTGGAAGTGAAATGCATATTCCAGCTGCTCCGACAAGTGTGAATTAAATATATTATGATTTTCCTGCCCCATAAAGAGAAATTTCATAGATGCCTGTGGCCAAGCAAAATGATCAAAAAATCATAAACAACACACAAACTCACCAGCCTCTGCATTAAGTTCATTCTGCTGTCTTCGGTTCTGGATCCTCAACTGCAGAACTGAAAAACACATATTGATTACAATGCAATGAAAGCTACATTTATAACACTTTGTACTAGGAACGTTGGCAAAAAAAAATGTTGCGCAATGCTACTTTATGGATCATACAGCTTAATTTAGGACTGCATGCCCAGCATCTGACAAATATACAGCACCACGCGAATGATAATAAATGAGTTAGAAGCTTGAAACACTTTTGATTGGGTACACATGCGATTGCTATTTGTAAGCAATTCAATGCAAAAATCAACCTTGCCATAAAAAATGGCAAAAATGGCAAAAAACAACTTTCTAAGTTGTGTAGACTTGTTTTTCTCAAAAATGTATCTGTAGACATTTTTAAATCATTTTCATTTTTCACACAAGTGCCAATTTTAGATCTGTCACATCCATAACAAAGCTTTGTCCTCATAAATTCACAAATGTCAAATAAAGTAGTTTAAATATTATCCTTTTGATTGGTACTATGTATTTTGGTGTTGCACTGTTTAATTTACAGAATTTCTACTATGTATGCTGTTTACTGCAAACGTACTATTTTGGTCACACACATTGAAAAAAAACACTAAGTTCCACATAATCAATTGGTGTTGGTACAACATGAAGGAATTATAAAGGAAGCCGACAGCTAGCTCTCTGCAACTCTCACATGGTTGCCCACTGAAGCCAAGCAGGGCTGCGCCAGGTCAGTACCTGGGAAAGCTAGTTTGCTGTCCGAAGTGGTGTTAGTGAGGCAGCAGAGGGCGCTCAACCTGCAGTCTGCGTGGGTCCTAACGCCCCAGTTTAATGATGGGGACTCTATACAGTTCAGTGAGCCCCGTCTTTTGGATGAGACATTAAACCGAGGTCCTGACTCTCTGTGGTCATTTAAAATCCCAGGATGTCCTTCGAAAAAAAAGAGTAGGGGTTTAACCCTGGCATCCTGGTCAAATCTGCCAACTGGCCTCTGTCTATCATGGCCTCCTAACCATCCCCACATCATAACCATCCTCCACCAATCAGCAGGTGTGTGGTGTGCGGTCTAGTGCAATATGGCTGCACACTGGTGGTGGATGATAAGATTCCCCCGCCGACAAGAAATGCACTATATAAATGTAAGGAGTTATTATTATTATTATTATTATTATCATTAATTTAACTTACAAATAAAGTGGATTGAACATAAAACAATTAGTTTTAATTGTTTAATTATCAAAAAAAAAAAAAAAAAAACTCAAGTATTGTGTTGTTTCCAGCTTGATCTTACTAGGAAACATAACTATTTTATGCGTTGTCATTTTCAGAATTCATACAAGTTCAGTCGTATGAAAATGTACACTTTTTTTTAAAGGAGACGTGGCACCCAGCCATGCCCAAAAACCCAACTGTCATTGGGAGATTTAAACTAAAATGTACGAATGAGATCATATGACAAAAAATAACAAATTGTGTGAGATTGCGTTGGTTGTTTCAGATCTGTTTAAATAAGTAGTTTGAACAAACAGCAAATGTCATTTTTTGAGCGTACAAAGCACATGTATATTTCTCTCATTTAAAATATAAAACATGTTTGTGAATTGATACTTATCTTATCTTATCTACGATCAGTTGTTTTGAAAAATATAAAGAGAGATTTCAATATACTGTAATGTACACTACCTGTCAAAACTTTGGGCTCAGTTTTTAATTTTTTTTTTTTTAATTCTGTTAATTAATGCGGCAATCATTAAATGTAAAAAACAATTGTTAAATATTAATTTTTAAAATGTAATAAATGGTTTCATATTGTATGTAGTTTCAAATGAAATTCCCACTCCAGTCATTACTGCTTTTATTACTATTAACAACAACAACTACAACAACAACAACAACAACAACAACAATAATAATAATAATAATAATAATAAATTCATATGAGTGATTTCTGAAAGAACCATGTGACTGAAGACTGGAGTAATGAAGCTGAATATTCATCATTTAAACAACTCAAATAAATGATTAAATTAAATGATTAACTAATTTTTAACAGTTATTTTATAGCAATAACATTTCACAATTTTATAATTTGTACTGATGAAATAAATGCAGCCTTGGTGAGCAGGATAAGCTTGTTTTAAAATCCAACAGACCCCAAACTTTTGTCTAGTGTATAAATTCTTCAAAGTTTTTACTGCAATGTCACATCCACAACACTAAAAACTGCTCTCTTAAAGAAGTTTTGGGTTTCTGCTCAAAGAAACAGACTTGAGCAGCAGGTGAATTACATCTCGGTGAGCTATGATGTCCCATGATGCACCTCTGTGCTGAGTTTTGAGATCTGAGAGTGGACGTGAGAGGAAGGGGTGAACTATTTATCCCTCTGAATGTCTATTTCTGTCGCCTTCCCATCCCCCATCCAGCTGTCTCGCTCTCTCTCTCTTTCTCTGTCTTTGACTCCCTCCCTCGCTCGCTGTCAGTCGCGTTAAGTAAATTCTTCCTCTTTTTGCTTTACTCTGGAAGAGAATGACACGCTGAGTGGCATCAGGCTAAATCAGGTTGGAATAGTGGGATTAAAAATTCACAGAGTGTCATGGCAGCTTAAAGTAATGTGCTCTGATCACGTAATGGCAGAGATGCATAATGATACTTCAAGCTTTTTATTATTCTACTAATTGCACCACCTGTTGAGATCACCGTAAACGCCTGAAATCAATACGTAACAAAGGACATGGATGACGCCTTCTTTTCAGTAACATTTAGACATTCTGTTTACTTTGAGCAACTTTGTATCTACATGTCAACTTGTAGTCATTTAGCATTAGCTGATTGTCTGCTCGGTATCTGACAACAGTTGGTTTTAATGGTCCTCAAGAGACATGCTGCTGATTATGAGTTACTTTTTAAGAATGTCAATTCACTCTGCTTACTCTAAACCATCTAGTGATACTCAATATAGATATACTTGCATATTGTGCAGTTGTGTATTGTGCAGACCCTAGATAGCCCCTTTCACACATACAGACCTTTCCAGAAAACTACTGGCAATTTTCTGGAAAGGTTGTATGTGTGAACAGGTCCTTTTTGAAAATACTGGTAAAGTCGTTCCGGAAATTTTCCAGATATTTACCGGTATCACTGTGTGAAAGGGGCTAATGTCTAAAGGATCATAATCAAGCTGTAGGCAAAACTGTTTCTAACTCACTATACAATGTAGATATAGAAGGTCACACACATGCGCTCACTCGCTCACACACAAATTATATGCATTTCCGATTTATCATTGTGTTTGAATGAAAAATTTTAGATGTATTCTGTAAACTGCTGATGATATTTCTTTCACATTTTTGATCAAATGTTATTTAGAGCCTTTTGTGCGTAAAATATTAAAGAAGATGGCATGTACAATCTGAATTATTAGCCCCCTTGTTTTTTCCCAATTTCTGTTTAACAGAGACATTTTTTCAACACGTTTCTAAACATAATAGTTTTAATAACTCATTTCTAATAACTGATTTATTTTATTTTTGCCATGATGACAGTAAATAATATTTGACTAGATATTTTTCAAGACACTTCTATACAGTGTAAAGTGACATTTAAAGGCTTAACTAGGTTAATTAGGTTAAATTGGCAGATTAGGGTAATTAGGCAAGTTATTGTATAACGATGGTTTGTTCTGTAAACTATCGAAAAAAAATAGCTTAAAGGAGCTAATAATTTTGACCTTAAAATGGTGATTAAAAAAAATTAAAACTGCTTTTACTCTAGCCGAAATAAAACAAATAAAATTTTCTCCAGAAGAAAAAAATATTGTCAGACATTCTGTGAAAATTTCCTTGCTCTGTTAAACGTACTTTAGGAAGTATTTTTAAAAAAATCAAAGGAGGGCTAATAATTCTGACTTCAACTGTATATACATAATTAGGTACCACTTTATATTGTGGCCTTAACTAATATGTACTTACACTAAAATTAATAGTTTGTTACAATGTACTTATTGTGTAAATACATGTGTTTACTGTGTACTTATTGATTAAATACATGTTGTTGCAATGTAATTACATCTGTAATTAACTTTTGTTATTACATTTGTAAATACATTGTTCACCATCCCTTACACCTTAACCCACACTTAAACCTACCCATGCCACCAAACCTGTCCATAACCGAACCTCTATCCCAACTCAAAAGCACCACAAGTGTTCTCAAATACATTATAAGCACAGTAAGTACATTGTATTTATTTATTTATGTAAGTACATAGTAGTTAAGGACACTTAATATAAAGTGGGACCCATAATTATACATAATTCGTAAGAGGGATAATATTATTGGCCCAGTGTTGGTATTTAGAAAGTAATAGATTACAAAAATAAGTTACTCCCCCAAAAACTAGTTGCGTTACTTGGTTACCTTTATGGCAAGCAGGGCTCAACAATAAGGACTGCCCGATGGCCCGGGGCCAGCGTGTGAGATGCTCGGGACAGTAGACAGGATAGTTACTGGCCCGATCGGGCCACTGCTTCCTTATTACTAAAGTTTAATTTGCCTGTGACTATTTGTCAATTGCGTGCAAATAAAGTTTTAGAATTGAGAAACATTGAGACTTTTTAAGCCTTCAAATGCTACCTTCTCGGTTCTTCTTATCTGATTGGATGTTGTAATCACGTTTTTAGTACAGTGAAGAGACAGCAACATGGTGATGACATCAAATGATGATGCTAAAGGAAAACATTTGTTTCTAACATCTTGGAAGCAGACATATACGAGGGTACACCACGACAAAAAAAAAAGTGATCTTTTGTACAGTTTGCCATCAGTTTGGCAGGTCTTTAGCCATGTTTTGTTTCAAAATACTTTGAATTTTGCTCATTACACATTTATTAAAAATTTTGAAATATTTAAATTCTATATATACAAACATTTTGGCACATTTTTTTATTTGTGGCTAAGAAATTAACTTTTTTTGGTGGGGCCAGTGAAAATATTGGCAGGGCAAGTAAAAATCTGAACCACTGGTCCGATTGGGCCAGTAGAAAAA